GCCCAACATCTGTAGTGTCGTGGGGGAATGATTATTTTCACGTCAAATCTTTACCGAACCTAAACTGCTTGCTAACTGAAAGGCGGTGATGACGGAGATCATCTGCGATTGCGGCGACACCAAATACTAATAACATAACATTATATGTATATTTTTAATGTTCATGCAATATATTCTGAGTTATCCACTTTATTCTGGCGCGCGAATTAATATGATGCAATTTTAAACATGTTTTTGAACGCCGCGAATTAAAAGGATACATTTAAAAATTAGCGTTCGAAAATAAAATGGGTGCGCGAACTAATAGAGACCGCGAATTAATCGAGTTTTTACGGTAGTTATAGGCGCCAGATAGCAAATATTAATGTTAATGATGGCACCAATAACTGAACAACTGTTTATTACTGTGGTCGCAAAATATGTACACCTAGCTCTGTTGTATTGGCACATGATACAGCAGTGTTTTTTTTTCAGGAAGCCAGTAAATTGTTGTCAGTTTTGGAGACGACATTACTTGCAACACAGCTGTATAGTCCGCAAATCAGCTGACTACGGCTGGTTAGGTGTACGACACGAATTGACGACCACAGTAACATTTTGCGTTTTGTAGTTAGTTTTGGGGTTTGAAATCCACTTGTACCTGTTTCTATTCCTAAGTAATTTGCTAATTAGTTACTTTTACTGATGTCTGAACCAGTGCACAGTTGCCAATAAAACGTGTAAGTGCTCTGTGAATCTATAGAACTGAAGAAATTCAACTCTGTGCATATCGCATAATAATGCATAATATTTATTTCAAATCAAGTCATGACATGACATTTAACCCCCCTCCAGTGTCTATATACTGCTTCTATTTTGCATACTGTAAGTATCTAGTGATGAAGCATGTTGAATGATTGACACTAAGGCTGTTAAAAGCGAGGATATTGATCTGCAGTCATCCATCAATGTCATCCATCGATGACACATCCAAATGTGGTACTTGTCAATCTGAATGACAATGCTGTCCACACGTGTCATTTTGAACATTGCAGAATGATCCGCCACGAGTTGACTCGACTTAAGAATGTATTCTGTTGACATTTTGTCGTCCATGTCAGCTTTTTTCTTTTTCGACTTCTTCTTAAAAATTACCTATGGCAGACCTGTTAGATTTGTTCATTTCGTGTGATATTTTCAATTATCTAATTTTGACGTACAATTTTGTCATTTTCGGTAAAAAGTGATATTTTTGTCCAATTGCTTTGATAATATACATATGAGGTAGTACAGGTAGACCTTACTCAGATTTGTTCATTTCGTCATATTTCCAATTATCTAATTTTGATGAGTATTTTGTTGCAGTTTTTATAAAAGGCGATATTTTCCGATACATATAGGTACCTTGGGTAGACCTCTCTCAGATTTACTCATTTTCTAATGATGTCTTAGTTCTTTAATTGAAATGTGCATTGCTAACAGCGGAGCTATTGCATGTTAATAGTTAGAACTGAACTAACTGGTATATATTTATCTTTTCCCTGATAGAGTGCTGTTGGAGGCCAGAAAAAAAAAGCTTCAAAATACGAGTTTGCCTTTGACAGAGTTTTCAGTCCTGAAACGTCACAGAATGACGTATTTGATGAGATATCGCAGCTTGTGCAGGTAAGAAGTCAGTTGCAGGTTTTTTTTTTGTTTTTTTTACATGAAGAACTTCATCGGAAGTTGATGAGTTAATAAACAATAGTGGTTGAGTAGGAAGTAACAAAGGTACTGTAGAATACTTTATTTTCGCTTGGAATTTATTTTCGCTATTTTCGCTGAAGGGATGATTCTGTGAAAATAAAATCCAGCGAATATACTTTTTTTCCTATATTTCACATAAAACTCATCAAAAATCAGTGAAAATAAATTCCAAGCAAAACGCCCAAAAAGCCTTTTCAGCGAAAATAAAGTATTCCACAGTATACTGCAAGTTTTGGGTGGTTTATGCAGCCCCATTAGGGTCGCAATGTACCTGTGTTACATAAATTCTTTTGTCTAGGACTATAGGCCAATGACCTGTTGAATTCACACCTGATTCGCGTACCTATTGTAGTGGACTACATGTCTCCTTCAACCCACCTGTAACCTGCTTGGCTCATTCAGTAGTGATCATGCATCGGAACTGTTTGTCGATTTGGAAGTTGTTCAAATCCATATATATAGCGAGTGGAAAGTTGTACTATCCACATGGATCATGCAAGAACATAATCTTTCTAAAAAAAACAACTGTTCACTTGAGGTAGAAGCCTACTCATGAAGTAAAATGCCCAGAATTTATTCATTTTACAATTGTGGGGGAAGGGTGAGGTTCGGGTCTTCTCAGTCACGGAAGTGAACACTGAAACGGACACGTCATGTAACTGGAACTCAATCTCGTTTATTCTTCAACAACAACGTAATACAGATGTTAACTCGTAAACAACTGGAAAGCAACTGCTCAAAACGAGCGCAAAAACATACAATATTGCCAATTGCCAATATCGC